AGCGGAGAGGGATCACGTGGAGCTAAGTGGCACGTGGGCGCGGGCAGGGGCACGCAGACACGCGCCAGGTCCAGGAGCCCGCGGAGATGCGACAGCCCTCGCGCTCTCCTTCCTGGGGGGAGGGGGCGGGTGCACGGAGAGATGGAGATGGAGCCCCGTCTCCTGAGGGCTCCCCCACCCTCCTTAGTGAATGAGGCTCGGTCAGCTCCAACGCCTGTCCCGCACCTGCAGGCCACTGGCTCCCTGGGGCCACAGGGCCCTTGCCCCGGCCCGCCCTCAGCCTGCCCTGCCCTCCCGCCCCACCGCCCACTGCTCAGACGTCACAGGGGCCTCTCTGCCGGGGCCTGGTCAGACCCGATCCCTCCAGCGGAGCCGCCGTGTCTGTGTCACCCTGGGGCAGTGCCTGTCCCCCCGCTGGGTGTGCAGGGCCCATGAGGGAGCAGCCACGTCTGGCCGGCTCCCCGTTGCACCCTGGCACAACCCGGGGCCCTGGCTGGCCTTCAGCGAACATCCGCTGAACGGGTGAGCGGGCACACGAAGCGGATGTCGTCACTTGTACTGGCTTCTACAAATCCCGTGACAGAGAAAGAAAACTCCAGCTGCCCCAGGCCTCCCCCAGCTGCGTGGGCCACGCGCCTGTCAGCAGATGTTCTGGGCTCTTCCTGTGACCTGCTGAGTCCTTGCCACCCCGCGGGGTCAGCCTCCCAGCGCCAGGATGACCGACACCCCCAACTCCCAACCCCATGAGGTGCCAGATGCCACAGTCAGATCTCTGTGGGTGCGAACGCAGCCTGAGGCTGTCAGCGAGGATGGCGGCCCCCGGCTGGGGGTCTGGGGAGGAGCCCACGGGAGGGACAGACTGCATGGTAGGCTTTGGTCTGATGAGTCTCCTGGAGCACAAGCTCCGCCTGGTGTTCGCTTCACCCCGAGGATCTCAAAGTCGTTTGAAAGTATCACCATAAAGAACATTTGTCAAGAAAAATTATCCTTCCCTTCCGCTCTCTTTAAAAACAATGAGGAATTATCCTCAGCTGGGGGTTAACAACAACAACCAAATCAGGTGAGCCAGGTGCCCCCTGGGGAAGGGACCTTGGTGGAGGCCTTGCCGCCCACTCTGCCCTCTGCCCACCGCCTCCACCCCCCACCCCACACCTGGTGGGGAAGTGCAGCCAGGCAACCGCCCTGCACCTCCGCCCTCCAGTCCCTGGTGACAAGAGGGGCCGGAAGGCTGGTGGCTTCCTCACGCTTGTCCCCCAGCCGCTGTCTGCTGGGATAGGGGACAGATCAGGCCGGGAGGTCCCACTCCGCCTACATCCGCCTGTGCTCCTGAGGTTTAACCCAAGGCCTGTGCTGCTTTTACAGTGTGTTTAACACTTACGCACATGCGCACACACACAAACCCCGCGCCCTTGTCTCTTCTGTTAGGGAATGATGGGTGTTGGCCATGTGGAAATGCGGGAGGCCTCTGTGGAGAACGCGGGCCAACAGAGGCCGCAGCCGGGTGAGGAGGGGCCGCCCCCAGGTCTGTCCTGGCCGGCACGTGGGTCCGAAGGTCCCCTCCCTGCTCTGCTCCGCCCGCCAGGGGCGCTGGCAGTCCGGCTCCGCGGCTTCCTGCTCTTGACTGCACTGCAGCGGGGGTGGCGCTGTCCTGCCTGGTAGCCCCTGGGAGGGGCCAGAGCGGCCGAAGTCCTAGGGGGCTGGCCAGGCCCCCCCGCTCTCGCGACCGAGCTGCAGCGATGCACGCATGCCGCCACGTGCTTGTTCCACCGTGTGCCGGGGCCCCGAGACCGGGCGGGGGGGGGGAGACACCACCGTCCCCCGGGGCCCATTAGGCCCCGACCCCCGCCACGGCCGGAGGGGGAGTTGGGCGGAACCGACACTCTGCCGGATCACTAGGGTGCAGAGCGGGCAGGGACACGGTGAGCCTGGATGGGCCCCCACCTGTCTGTCCCTCCGGACCCCGCACTCTGCCCTTGAGGCCGGTCTGAGGGCCCACGTGGGCCGGCCGCAGAGCGGGTCAGTGGGGAGAATGCAGAAGCCCAGCTGCCACCCTCCCTGGTTATGGGGGGAGGCGGCTGGGGGGGTTGGCTTTTCGGGGCACTGCACCCCCAGCAGGGGCTGCCTGTGGCCCCAGACCCAGGACCCCTCCTAGAACACTCCCCTCCCCAGCCCCCACAGAGAAGAGTTTTCCCCCAAACCAGGCAGCTGGCTCCCTGCTCCGGACTTCCCAGGACCGGGCGCTGCCGTGACCCAGGTGTGAGCCCCCGGGAGGGCGGCTCCCACGTGGCGGCTGAGGCCGCAGCCAGTGCCCGGGGACACTGGGCGTGTGTGGCTCCAACCCCAGCAAGGGTTTCCCTGGCTAGAAAGGGCTCCCCCCACCGCAGATCCTCGAGTCCTGTTTGCCTCCACACCCCACGGACGGCCCCGGAGCTCTGCGGTCATGCACAGCGACGGTGTCGCCCACGGGGCCGGGGCGGGTGAGCAGGTGGCACCTGCGGGAAGTGTGGGTCTGGGCGAAGGCGCTGCTGGGAGGGAACGGCACCGGCAGAGGCCCCGGGGCGAGAGGGGGCCAGGAAGGTGCAGGCAGAAGGAAAGGGGTCCCAGCCCCTGTGGGGCCTGTGGGCTTCTCCCGAGGGTGATGGGAATCGTTGGGGGTTTTGAACAGCACACAGACGGATGGACACAGACTGGCTCGCATTTTAAGGGACGTGGAGACTGGGGCAAAAGTCCCCGCACAGACGGGGTTGGGGGCGGCTGGGCCAGGTGGCTGCCAGGGAGGTGGCAGGACTTGGTTGGAACCTGGAAGTTGGTCGAGGGTGGAACGTTCCAGATTTGCGGCTGGAGGGGAGTGAGGTGTCAGAGGGAGGGGCCAAGGGGCCTCCAAGGTGGTCGGGTTGGGCGCCTGGCTGGGCGGGGCTGGTGGGGTGGAGCAGAGCCTGCGAGCGGTCAGGGGTCAGGCCCAGGGCAGCGGGCGGGGTGCAGGGCAGCAGGAGAGAGCGGCATCCTGGGTGAGAGTTTGTCCGTGCACCGGCAGGTCCGTTAAGAAAAAGCCCGAGGGCTGACCGCTGCATTCTTTCCTGTATTGATATCGGAGGGAGAGAGCACGAGAGACAGAGAGAGGACCGTCAATTTGCCGTCCCACTAATTCGCGCCTCCATTGGATGCTGCTTCCCGGTGACCTGAGGGGGATCCAGTGGGCAGCTTCGGCTCATCTGGCCAACGCTCCCACCGCTGGGCACCTGGCCAGGGCGGCCCTTGCGCTTAAAACACCGGAGCCCGTGGGTGGGGCAGGGGCTGGAGAAGGGGCCAGAGAGATGAGTGGAGCAAGGAATGCAAAGGGCTCCAGGAAGGAATGTGCGGTGAGGAGGAGCCGGAAGTGGGCAGGTGGGTGCAGAGCGCAGAGGTGGTTCTTTTTAAAGAAGGGAGAGCCCCCAGCACCTTACGTAGGTGAGAGGTGGGCTGTCAGCAGGTTTCTCTGCGGCTGCATCTCGGGAGAACAAGGGCTCTAGGACCACAGAGATGGTCCATTTGGTTCCTAGGGGTCCCTGCAGCGCCTGGCACCGAGGAGGCGCCAGGAAGCATGCGTGGAATGAAAGAGGGAGTGAATGGGGCGTCCTTAAAATTGTCCAGGTGAAGAGGGTCCAGCTGAGCAGGGGTGAAGCAGGGAGTGGAGTCTGGGGTCAGAGGTCACCAAAGGAGCTGGGTTGGGAAGGGGGGGGAGGCGGCGGGGGCTCAGCCCAGGAGGATGGGGTTTGGTGGGTGTGGCAGAGATGGGGGCGCTGCAGACCTGGGGCCCAGGTGAGGTCCTGCTGACAGCAGATGTGGGTCCCTGTGGGTGCAGCCTGGAAGGGGTGGGTTCCTCAGCGACACCCAATGCCACATTTACACGGAGGGGGCCGAGGATGCACGGAGGAGGCAGGGGTTCAAAGCCGACTGCTCGGATCAATTGCCAAGAAGGACGTTGTGGATTCAGAAATGACGGTGCTGGGAGACCTGGGCCAACGCAGTCGGCCTCCTGGTCCAGGAGCAGAGGGAGCCGGCCAGTGGGGGCCGGCAAGCCTTGCCTGCGGTGGGATCTTGGATCACAAGGGAGGAGGGCGGCTGGGCCCAGGCGACCAGCGGAGCCTGGACCCTTTCCGCCGGGACCTCTGCTCCCCGCAGCCTCGATCTCCGCATCCTTAAACCGGCCGGAAGGGGAACACGCTGTTGTACCGAGTTGGGGATCGTGGGTCTGAGTTCCTGACCTGAGTTCCTGACTCGTCCTCAGGGGAGGCCGAACTCCCTCGATCCGCTCCCGCCCGCCCCGCCTCCCCCCGCCTCAGGTCACCAGCGACCCTTCCCCGCTGTCCCCTAGATGAGCGCTCGCCCTGGAATCGCCCCGCTCTCGTGAGCACAGACGGCTGGAGTTTCGACTCAGGGGATCCGGCCCCGAGAGCTGCCATTTCCAAGTCCCCGGGGCACTGCAGCGCGGGGACCCCACCTAGGAACCGCGAGGCCCCGGAGCGAGCTGCGTCTAGGAGCCACGCACAAGCTGGCGGTCCCCGAATCCCCGGCCGCGGACGCCGCTGAGGGTTGCCGGGCAGAGCCGGGCCGCGCGCGCTCCCATTGGCCGCAGGTGGGCCGCGCCCCGCCCGACAGGTAGTGTACCCGCGCCTCGCCATTGGGCAGCGGACGCGGGATCCCCCGGGGATTGGCCCAGGTGGAGGCCCCGCCTCGCCCTCATTGGCCGCAGGTGCCACCGCCCCCGCCCCGGGACCGCCCGCCCCGCCGATTGGCCGCCGGCTGGGTCGGCCATGTTCGGACCCCCCCCGGCCGGCCAGACGCCGGACTCCGCGCCCCCGCCCGCCGCGCCCCCGCCCCGTCGCGCGCGCACCGCCCAAGTTCGGCGAAGTTGGCCGGCCCGGCGCCTCTCGACCCCCACCCCGCGCGCTCACTTCCGCGTTCCACTGCCCGCCCCACCTGGCGCCGGGCCACTGGGGGCCCCGCGCCATGGCCCGAGCGCCCGGGGCGCGGTGCTGACGGCGCCCTGAGCGCGCCATGCCCAGCAGGACGGGCCCCAAGATGGACGGGAGCGGCGGCCGCGTCCGCCTCAAGGCGCACTACGGCGGGTGAGCGGGACGGGGCGGGGCGGGGCAGCCGCCTCGCGCCGCCCGTCGGGGACCGTGTCGCCGCTGCGGCGGTCGGCCAAGAGCCGGGGTCCCGGTGGCGGCGCGGGAGCGAGGGGACAGCGAGGCCAATTTGGGCCCGGGGCGTCCCGGGAGGTCCTGGCGCACTGGCGCCGAGAGGCGGCCCCGGTTCGTCCCCCACCCCGCGAGGGGTTTCTGCGCGCGGGATGCGTGGTGACTCCGCGGCGCGCTCCTCAGCCCCGGGCGCAGTGTTGACATTTTCCCTGGAAAGTTAGCTGGACCGTGAAGGCCATATACCTGTAAAGACTAGAGTTTGGGTCAGATGGTGGAAACTGCGGCCGACTTTAAAAATGGGGGTTTCCTGAGTTTTCCCAACGTACTCGGCTGGCGCTCTCAGTTTGAGAAAAGCTTCATGTCCAAGGCGAAGGCCGGGGCGGGGGGAGCCGCCCGTGGCTGCGCGCGCGGCGGGCGCCTGGTTGGCAGCGCTCGGCCGGTTTCCCCGGGGCCGGACCTTTCGGACACCGATCCGCCCCGCGGCCGCGCTCGGCGCCCTTGACTCGACCTGCCTCGCGGCGAAAGGGGGCGAGCGGGCGCCGCCCGGGCGTCAGTGGCGGGGAGCGCCGGGCGCTTGGCCGCGGGAAGCGCGGTGGGGATGGAGGGGGCGGCGCCCGAGCGCGGTGTAGACGGCGCTGCGGGGGAATTCGGCACCTTGGCTGCTCCCTCCTTCCACGGTGCTGGCCTCCGGGAGTCCCGAAGTGGGGCCAGCCGCTGTCAGGGTCGCCGCCGCAGCCCCGCAGGGTGGGCGGGGCGGGCGGGGCGCAGCGCCAATCCAGGGCTGCGGGTGAACCTGTCGGTCTGGCGACTGTGGCAGTCCGTGGGGTCTGCCCGAGGGCCCCCCTGGGCGCGTCCTCAGGCCCGAGGAGGGGTTTCAGGCTCTTGACCTCCTGAGTGGTTCTTGTTCAGGGTCTGGTCAGGCCTCGCTGCCCCTCGGCCACTTTCAGCTTGGGCGCGATTGCTGGGGGCGGACGGAGGGGCAGAGTGGCAGAGCAGGAGGGAAGAGCGTTTTGGGGAAGCGCCGGCCAGCCCCCCTGAAGAGTCCAGAGGGGGCTTGTCCTCTGGCCTGGGAGGGTGGGCTACCCCTGGAGCCCAAGAGGGGTCAGCTGAGTCCCGGGTCTCTGACTGCCCCCAGGGCCGGAGCATCTGGGTTTGCTGCTGGGTAAACTGGGACTGCGGGGCCTCGGAGCGGAGTGAGCGGAGTGAGCGGAGTGAGCGGAGTGAGCCGGGACTTTGTAAAAACCCGAGAGGATCCTGAACGAGAAGATGGCCACACCCAGAGCGGCCTGGGGCGGTGGGAGCCCACCCGCCCGCCAAGGGGTTAATAGCAGGCGTGAGCTCCCCAGGGGGTGGGGGAGGTCAAAGGGGTGGCGGCCTGCTGCCGGGCCACCCAGTCCCCTCTCCGGCCCTGGAGAGCACTTCGGTTACGGTTACGGGGAGTAACGTGACCTGTTGAGTCTGGTTTCCCTAGCGGATGAGGCCACGCCCCGCGCTCTTTCCTCTTCCTTCCCTCCCCGACCTCTGCTCTTCCCTCCCTGTCCTGTCACCCGCTCTCCTGTCCCTCTCCCCCTCTTCCTCTCCCCCTCTTCCTCTCCCTCCTCCTCCTCTCCCTCCTGCAACTCTCTCTGCTGCCTTTCCCAGGCCCGGCTCCCTGTTCCCTGCCTGCTCATGCTGTCTTGCCCCTGCCTGTCCCAGGGGACTGAGGTGGGAGACCCGGTCCTCAGCATGGCCGGACGCTGGCCCGGAAGCTGCCCACCCAGATCAGCGCCCTTTACCCAGACCCCACTCTGGCTCAGGAAAAAATCTGGCTCTGGGCGAGAGGGTGCTGCTGGCGCCTCCCGGAGGGAGGCCGTTTTTGTGCGGCAGGGCCAGGGCTTGAGGGTCGGACACAGCGAAGACACTGTAGAAAAGGGGGTTCTTCTGCTGCCCCCACTGGTAATGGCTTCTCCTGGTCATCCTTCCCCATGCCCGAGGCCCCCCAGAAGGCTTGCGGTCAGGGTCTCCCTTCCGCCCACTGGGGCCTTCGGACTGGGGTCTGGCAGCACCTGCATTTTTCAGGGGGGTTTGGGGTGCTGCTCAGGTGGTTTGGGGGCCCCTTTTGCCAGGCTGAGCCTCAGCCACCTGCTCTTAGGAGGCTGTAGAAGTGACTGCTGGCTCTTCCTCTGTCCAGCTCAGCCTCCTGTTCCAGAATCTCCGCTGTCCAGGGCCTGCGGTGCAAAGCCCAGGACTGGTCCTGTGCCCAGGAGACCTGGGCGTCCCCGGAGGGCATCCGCAAGGCTGCTGGGAGCCGAGGCCTGGCCACCCTGCCCAGGGCTCTGCCTTGCTCAGGGACCTGCTCGGTTCAGGGTTGGGGTGAGGTTAGGGATGGCGGTCAGGGGTCTCACGGTGGGAGTGCCCTCGGGAGGGTGGCCCCACCCCGGGCTTGCTGGTCAGGCCTCGCTGTGGCTGGGTGACGAGGAGCGGTCCAGCCTCACGCTGGGCACTTCCATGGCGTGGGGGCTTCCTGGGCAAGCGCTAGCTTCCCCCCAGAAACACGGGGGCGGGCGCTTGGGGCGCTTCACAGGTGAAGGGGTGGCAGTCCCTGGCTTCCACAGTTCCTCGGGGCAGGAGGACCAGGGACACTGGGTCAGAGGACGAATGTGCCAGGTTCCAGGGCTGGGTGACCCCGAGGAGAAGGGGTGGAAAGTCGCCCCTGGAGCCCCCGCAGACGGCCGGGCCCCTCCTGCGCCCTAGTTTCCCCGCCTGCTGAAGCACTACAGGCTGTGGTTAGCCCCGGGGCATGCTGGGGTCCTGGGGGCAGGTGAGGAGGGTCGTTGAGCAGACGGTGGCAGTTCCTGTGGGAAGGGTGGCCAGCTGGCGGCCATCAGCGGGAGGCGGCCTGTGGGCGGGGCCCTGGGCGGCTGGCTGGGCCAGGGCGCTGTCCGGGAGCAGATCCGGGGCCCTTGGGCCCTTGCCTTGCTGCCTTGTGGTCGGGGCCTTTATACACCGCATCTGAGGGGCTCAGAAGCCCGCGGTGCCTGCGCCGAGCGGACGCCGCGTTTCCGTGGGCCAGACGTGGCGGGGCTGGCGGACTTCTGCCGGCAGGCTCTGCGCTGTCCTGCCGCCGGACGGGGGAATCTTCCCCACAGCTCCAGCCTGTGCTCTGAGGACAGGCTTCCCTCTCCGTTCAGCGAGGCTGCGCCCCACCCGAGTTAGCGCCGCCCCCCTCTCCCGGCCTGGGCAGCACCGGCACCTGTTTCAGGGCTGGGGAGAGCGGGAAGGGCCCCCGGACTCCCTGAGCTGTCTCCAGCCACCCAGTGTCGGCCCCCGTCTTTGGATAAAAAGATGAAAGGCGGTAGTGTCCTGTGCAACTCGCTTTTAAAAAAACAAACGTGCAGGGAGGCAGGTGGAGCGTCTCTTTGGGGCGTCCTTGGGGCATCACTTATTCCACCTCCCCCCCCTCCCCCCCACAGTTTTCCCCCAGCCGCCCCTCCCGCCGGTCCTCCCGGAGGCGTTAGTCCTTGGACTTGGCGCCCTCCTCTGCACCCTCCAGTTTTGGGGAATGAAGATTATAGGCACGACCCACCGCCTGACCTTTCTGGTGGAGCGGGCGCCTGGCGCCTGAGCTGCTGCTTGCCCGGCTTCCAGTAGGGGGCGCCTGCCTCCGCGCAAGGGCCTTCACGATGCTTATTGAACAAAACCGTGGCCAGCGGTTCTGGGAAGGGTTCAATGATTTTGCCAAGAACTGGGTTAACCAGTAGCCCATGTTTAATGGGATGCACACGCGTGCCCCAGTGACCTGTCCGCACCCTCTTTGCCCAGGGACATGCTGATCACCAGCTTGGACGCGGCAACCACCTTCGAGGAGCTCTGCGCGGAAGTGAGAGAGATGTGCAGCCTGCACCCGGGGCAGCCGCTCACCCTCAAGTGGGTGGACAGCGAAGGTAGCCTGGGTCGCGGCCCGCAGAGGGCGCATACCCGCCCCCCCCTGTCGGGGCGGCCAGCCCTCTGGGGTCTCCGCAGCGTCCCGCCCCTGGGGCCGGATCTGTCCTGGGGGGAGGCTGGGCCCCACGGAAGGGAGCCTGGGCGGGCCAGGGCCGCGGGCCTGCAGGGGCCCGGCCGCACCTCCTCGCCTGACCGTCCTTCCCCCTACGGGGGGCCTTTCCTGGGGGTGGTCCGGAAGGGCGAGTGCTCTCCGTTCTCTCAGGGAAGGGGTGCAAGGGGCGTGCAGCCCCTTCCGCTCTGACCCCCTTCGCTCCGCCTCTAGCTCCCCACTCCCTCCTCCTCTGTCAGACTCACGTCCCGGGAGTGTCCCCTTCTCTGGGGTGACTGACTGCAGGAGGACGCAGGGAGCCCCTTCCTGCGGGGACAGGGCCACCGGGCCGCGGCCTGTGCGTGTCTGTGCTGCCGGGGGCCTTTCCCTGTGGGCTGGGACTGGCCTAAGAAGAGCACTCTGGGTCTCGCCCACGTCCGGAAGTTCACGAAGCTCAGCCCTGCGCGTGGCTGTCACGGGCTGTGGGCGAGCTCACCTCCCTCCCAGAGGAGGACGGCTTCCCATGGGGGCCCTGGGCCGGCTGTCCTGGGCCCCGCCCCCGCCCCCGGGAGCGCCTGTTGTGGGGGCCCCTTTGCCTGAGGCCTGCGGCGGCCTCAGCGACGTGTCTCGCCCCCCCAGGGGACCCCTGCACTGTGTCCTCCCAGATGGAGCTGGAGGAGGCCTTCCGCCTGTCCCATCAGCACGGGAACGACGGGCTCATCATTCACGGTCAGTGCCACGGGCGGGGGACGTAGGGCACAGGGGGCAGGGCTCTGCGCAGACGTCCACGGCATCCCGGGGCGGGGCCGGGGCCGGGAGCCACGCGGAGGGCCACGGCTTAAGACCCTCGTGATGGCAGAGGGTTGGAGGGCGCTGAGGGTCACGCAGTTTGGATTTTCTCTCTCATGTGTTACTAACTCAGATAAAAATTGCCCCCCTGGGCGAGCCAGGAAGGCGCCCCTGACGCAGAGGCTGGGTCCTGGCTGTGGGTCCTGGGAGCCCGCGGCCCCGGCACGCCAGGAGCCCGGGCCCGTTCGGCTGCCCCCTCCCGGCATCCGGGCGCAGGCGGCAGGCAGAGCAGGGCATCGCAGGCTCACGGCCCCCGCAGCCCGCTGGGCTCCGAGCCGGGGTGCGAGAGGCAGAACCGCGGCCGTTCCAGTACAGCCTTTAAACGGGGGGTTTTACACCGCAGTCCCCCTCCTCGGGGTTCCGCAGGGCGCCGGGGGCCCGAGGCGCGGCTCCGGCGGCCGTGGCCGGGCAGCCAGGGGGCGCACCGGGGCGTGAGGCTGGTCACCGCTCCCTGTCAGTCGGTCATTTTCTCTCCTGCTGGGCCAGTGGGTGGTTAAAACGCCCTGTTTTTGTAGTTCTGTGCAGGCGCACGGTTCCGATCCGAAGGCCCGCCCGCTGCAGCCCCCCCCCGCCCCGCCCCGCTCCGTCGCTGTGGCGGGAGCCCTAAACGTACTATTTTGCAGACGAAAAAGAAAAGATTGTTTCATTTTAGTCTTCATACTTTTAAAAAAATATATTTTCTTTCTTTATTTTTAGAGAGAGGGAGACGTTGATGTGTGAGAGATGCAGAGATCGGTTGCCTCTCACGTGCCCCCTACTGGGGACCTGGCCTGCAACCCAGGCCTGCGCCCCGACTGGCGATCGAACCGGCGACCTTTCGGTTCGCAGGCCGGCGCGCAGGCCGCTGAGCCGCCCCAGCCGGAGCCAGTTTTCATACTTTCTAAGCTTCTATTTTCGTAACCTGCCCTCGGGTCCTAGGTGCGTGTGGCGGTGTTGAACCGTGAGCCCCCAAGGACAGAGGCGCACAGGTGGGCTTTTGCCACTGGGGTCCAGCGTGACCGTGGGTCTTTGCCCTCTGTGTCATGGTGCTCAGGACACACCTGGGCTCTGCCGCCTGCGTCCCTCCGACGGCCCCCCGGACGCCCCTGTGCCCCGAAGCCCTGCAGGAGGGACCTGGGTGGACGGGCGCACACACGTGCTTGGGCCCCGCATCTCAGCCTTGCTGCGCGTCTCCCAAGCGGCGGCCGTCAGCCACGCGGGCTCCGTGCACCCACGCGCTCAGCCTGGCCCCTCTCGGAGGCCGGCCCCAGCAGGGCTGACGCTGGTTCTCTCTCCCGCGCAGTGTTCCCGAGCGTCCCCGAGCGGCCCGGCCTGCCTTGCCCTGGAGAAGACAGTGAGTACCTCCCGTGCCCCCGCCGCTGCCGCCGCTTGGACTGTGACGTGTCTGTTGGCACGGGGAGGCGGCGTTGGTGGTGGCTTGTGGCGCAGGACTGTTTACCCCAGGAAGACTCCCGACGGGAGTGACCAGAGGATGGGACCCCCTCCCGGTGTCGCCTCGTGGCGGGGGGTCCCTGCCTTTTCTCCGTGTCCGTCCTGGTGCACGAGCAGGGCCAGGGCGGGTTGCTGCCAGGAGCCCTGGAAACGCCTTGACCTTCCCTAGGAGGGAAGGGCCCAGTGGGGAGCCCAGGGAGAGCCGCGCACCGGCTGGCGGGGGGCGGCGGGGGCCGGTGACAAGCGTGGCGATGAAGGCACAGGCTGGGGCGGGGTGGGGGTGCAGCCTGAGATGCGGAGGCCGGGAGGCCGCACTGAGGAGCCAGGGTGGGGCCGCCCGGGGGGCACCTGCCTGGGAGCAGCAGACACCGCGGGCGACATGCCGTTCTCCTGCAGGCGGGACTCGGGAGCTGCGGGGACTCAGGTCACGGCAGGAGGGTTGTGAGGTGGACGTGCGGCGGGTTTCTGGAGAGGTTTGGGGGGCGCTGGGCCGTGACTGCGTGACACGGGATCCCGCCGGCCGGAGCCCCAGGCAGCCCGAGGGGGCCTGAGGGGCGGGCAGCCGGCACGGGGGTCTCCGGGTCCTCGTCCCCCAGGGCTGCCCACGTCCCATGGGAAGGCGCCGTCACACTCGGCGGTGCGTGTCTCTGGACACGTGAAAAAATGAGACGGCCCTCCTGCTGGGAGGCAGGCGGTCCCCTCCGCTGGGTTCTCGAGCAGGACGTCCTGTTGTTTGCCACCTGGAAGGCTTTTGACGGTGGGGACAGGCTGGCTGTCCAGAGGGGTCTCCAGCAGCGCGTGCGGCCTGGGCATGGGCCTGCGTGCGGTGCGGCGCCCCAGGAGCCGGAGCCAGATGTCGGCTCAGCCCGGGCCCGGGCCGTGCTGGCCCCGCCGCCCGCCTCGCGTTTCCCGTGGGGTTGCCGCCGCCCCGCCCGGGGTCGCCGCACGCGGGCCTCGCGTGGGGAAGGTGGTTGGGGCCGGCCCCGCCTCTGCTCCGCTGTGGCGTGGGGGCCGAGGACGCGGGGCAGTGGGGAGCAGGTCCAGAGAGGCTCGCGACGGCTCACAGGCTCTGGGAGAGCCCCCCACCAGTGCGGGGAGGCGGCGGGCCCTGGGAGCCAGGGCAGCTGACGTGGGGGCGGGGGGGGGCGGGGGGCGTGTCCCGGTGTGGCTCCCGCTCTGGGCACGGGCGTCCACTTGGCCAGCAGCCAGGAGGGGCGGGGCGGCCTGGTCTTGGCGGTCGGGTGCAGGCCGAGCCCCTGCCGTGGGCCTCCCGGGCCCCTGGGGCCGAGCGGCGTGGGTGACCTCTCCCATGCGCTGTCCCCTTGGCCCCATTCAGTGCTAAACTGGGGCGGTTGGGGCAGCCCTGTTCTGGTCACCCCATGGCCACGCTGCCCGTGTTCCTGGTCAGTTTCTATGGCCTCAGGCAGCTCTGCCCAGTGCCGAGGACGCATGTGAGGGGTCAGCCGGGGGCAGGGTACGTCCTGGAGCTACGTGAAGCCCTCGTTAGGAAGGCTGGACAGACCGATGCACCACGGCAGGAAGGTGGCCATCCCGTGGCACCCGGGCGTGTCCAGCTGGAAGGGCCACCTCGTGCCAGCCCCGCGGGTCTTCATTTTCCACAAAACACCTTCCCACACATTCTAATCGATATGAATTTAATTGGTTTTACACAGCTTTTAGAAAGTTATGTGGAGTACACATGTAAAATCTGCTATCTTAACCTTTTGTTTTAAAGATTTTATTTATTCCTAGAGAGAGGGGAAGGGAGGGAGAAAAAGAGGGAGAGAAACATCCATGTGTGGCTGCCTCTCACGCGCCCCCTGCTGGAGACCTGGCCTGCAGCCGGGGCCTGGGCCCCGACTGGGAATCGAACCGGCGACCCTGAGATCCGCAGTCTGGCTCTCAGTGCACTGAGCCGCACCAGCCAGGGCTGTTTTAACCTTTTAAAGTGAACAATTCAGTGGCATTTGGTTGAAAAGACTGTCCCTTCCCCACTGACGGTCGTGGCGCCGTGTTGGAAGCCGTCCACCCACAGGTGCGAGGGTCCCCTCGGGGCCTCTGCTCTGTCCCTCTGGGCTCCGTGTCTGTCCCTCTGCCAGGGCCACGCGGCTTTCACCGCTGTAGCTGGTTCTAGGCTTCACATCCGGGAGTCGGGACCTCCAGCTTCGTTCTTTCTCAAGAATCTTTTGACTATTTGGGGTCCCTTGAGATTTCATAGGCGTTTCAAAATGGGGTTTTTTATTTCTGCAAAACACACCAGTGGGATTTTTATAGCGATTGCATGTACCGTGTTTGCTTCGGGTGGAATTGATATTCTTTTCCATAGATGTGGGGTGTCTTTCCACTTATTCACGTCCTTAATTTCCTTCAGTGCTGTTTTGTAGTCTTTCTTGTACAAGACTTTCACCTCCTTGTTAGGTTTTTTTAAATGTGTCTTTTTGATGCCACTGTAAACATCTGTCTTATTGATTTCCTTTTGGGGTGTTTGTTGCTAGTGTATAGGAACGTACCTGATTTTTCTTGACTTTGTGTTCTGCTATTTTGTTGAATCTGTTTGAGTTCTAATGACTTTTTTGTAGAATTACTAGTTTTCTGTGTCCTCCGTGAACTGACAGGTTAATGCTTCTGGATCCCTTTTCTTCCTTTTTCTTGCCCGTGGCTCTGGCTAGACTGCCCAGCGCTGCACAAGCAGAAGTGGGGAGAGCGGCGCCCTGTCTTGTTCCTGACCCTGGGGGACGGCTTGAGCCTTTCACCGTCGACACATCCGCTGTGCGTTGTTCGTATGCAGCTCCCACTGCGTGAGGCGCTTCCCTTCTGTGGCGCAATGGGAAGTAGACGTGGCCCGTGTTCCCGGTGCCAGGTTCTGCACTCCTGACTCTCCTGAGTGGTAGGAGTGGCTTTGTCATTGGTTGGGAGTCCCTTCTGAGCCCTCTAGTGGAGGTGAGTAGGGATGGCCCACCCAAGACAGCCCCGGGGTGGGACCGGTCGCCACAGAGACCTCGTGGCTAGGACGTTGGGACTCCCGGTCCCTGGTGGCCCCTGGTTCGGTCAGTTGCTCCGGTGGGGGAGCCCGCGGAGTGGCGGGGAGCGCTGCCTTCTGTCCCTGCCCTGCCCTGCGCGCCTCTGCTCACTGGCTTGCCCGGAGGACGTCCCTTCACAACACACGGCGATTGTGAGCCCTTCCGGCGAACGAGTGGAGCCGGGAGGGGTCGGGGAACCTGCGACCTGCAGCTGGTGGGTCAGACGCACAGGGGACAGCCTGGCCTGGCATCTGACATCGGCGGAGGGTGGGGGGCAGGCGCATGGGACGGAGCCCTTCGCCTGTGCACGTGGCGCTCTCTCCAGGCAGACGGCCTCAGGACTGAGCGGGTTGTCCGGTAACAGGGAAGATGCACCCAGGGACCCTTCTGTGTCTGCTGCGTCCAGTATTCTAACCGTGGAAGGATTTTCAGCTCCATCGGGCGCCCTCTCTGTCTCCATTGAAACGACCCCTTGTTTTTTTTCCCCTTTGCCCCGTGCACGTGCCGCGCTGCCATCAGTGCTCGTGCGTGGGGCCGCCCTCCGTGGACGGACCCACGGGTGGCCGCGCGCAGGCCCTCCGCGCACCGTGACCTCTGCGCGCGGGTTTGCCGCGGAGCGTCTGTGTGTCCCCGCGCTCACAGGGGGCGTTGCTCTGCGGCTCCCCCTCGCGTCTCTGTCTGGCTGTGGTGTCCGGGCGGTGCTGGCCTCCTGTGGTGAGTTCAGGGGTGTGTTCTCTCCTCTCCAGTTTTGGAAAAAGTTGGAGAAGGTTTGTGTTAGTTTGTTAAATGGCGGGCAGAATTTGCCAACGAGGCCGCCAGGTCCGGAACTTTTCTTTGTGGGGAAACTCTGAGGCCCGAGTCACTCCACTCACCACTCACAGGTCTGCGTGCGGAGGTTGCCTGTTTCCTTGTGGTTTGCGTGGGAGTTTTGTGCTTCTCAGGATTTGTCCGTTTCTTCTCGGTTATCCAGATTGTTGGCGTATAACTGTTCAGTTCTCATAGTCCATTTTATTTCTCTAGAATCAGGAGCAACGACCCACTGTTTCTTTTTAAATATTTATTTCTTTATTTTAAGAGAGAGGGGGAGGGAGGGAGAAGGAGATGGAGAGAAACATCCACGTGTGAGAGACACATCAGTTGCTCGCCTCTCGCACGCCCCCAGCTGGGGACCTGGCCTGCAACCCAGGCAGGTGTCCTGCCCGGGAATTGAACCAGCGACCTTTCGGGTCTCAGGCTGGGCACTCAGTCCCCTGAGCCGCACCAGCCAGGGCCCGTTTCCGATGTTATTGATTGAGTCCCTTATTTCTTAGTTCCTCTTCCTGAAGGTTTGTCGGTTTTGTTGACCTTTTCCTTCATTTTCTTGGTGGCTTTTCTGTCCTCGGTCTCGTTTCTCTGTTCTCATCTGTGTCGTCTCCTTCCCTCCGGGAGCTTTGGGTTCAGTTCCTTCCTCTTGCCCGGTTTCTTAGGGCGTCAGCGAGGCCGCTGACGTGAGACCTTTCTTGGTTTTCAGTGTCAGTGTTTTATAGCTGTGACTTGCCCCTTAGCACTGCTTTCTCTGCGTCCTGAAAGTTTTGGTTTGTCGTATCTCGTTTTCTTTTGTCTCTGAGTATTTTCTAATTTCTCTTGTGATTTTTTTCTTTGACCCATTGGTGGTTTTGAGGGAGTGTTGTTTAATTTCTGCAGTTTTGTGAATTTTTCTTTCTTTAAATTATATTTCACTGGTGATGTTATTACAGGTGTTCCATTTTTTACCCCTTTGCCCCCCTCCGCCCAGCGCCCCCACTCCCTCAGGCCCCCCCCACCCTGTTCGTGCCCATGGGTCAGGCGTGTAAGTCCTTCGGCTGCTCCGTGTCCTAGGGCTAGCCCTGTGCACCCCCCGGCT